ATTTCATGGATTCACCAAATATTTATGGGGAACTGACTTTGAGTTAAACCCCTCATTGGGTACTGAGAATACATAGTGAATTGGGCCAGTCCTTCCCCTTGAGAAATTCATAGTCTAGTGGAAGAGAGAGACATGTAAACCAGTAATTACAATAAATAATCTTTTAAAAATGCTGTCTGAAACTCTGAGCTTCTATAGCTATTGTTCTTCAAGATATGTCTCTTCTGCCATAATATATCTAATTCATATCAGTTTTCCATTTTCCAAGAACTTTCGAATACATTGAGAGTTCACTGATCATATTCATAATAGTATTTGAGAATCGTTCTTAAATTAAATGAACTTCAACAATTACTGAGTTCTTGTCATGTGCAAGGCATTGGCAAGGTTTTACGGAGCATACAAAAATGTTGGAATAACAGTCAGTCTTCATATAACTTTCTGTGAGTGCCTGAGAGACACTAAGCATGATAAATCCGCATGGCCAAGAGAGTCATTCTTTTCTTTAGATTCCTTCTTCGTGAGAGAGACTTTTAAAAAAAGTACAGCAAAATAATACCTGTTGTAGAGGAAAGCCAGTTAATACATGCAGAAGGAATGCTAAATTAGAAAATCACCATTTTGCATACCCCAATGTAATCATCAATGTAAGCAAGGGTCATGAATGGATGTTATTAATAACATCATTAGCGGCAATACGTACCTATTAGAATGGCTAAAATCCAAAGCACTGACAACACCAAATGCTGACAAGGATGTGGAGCAACAGGAACTCCCATTCATTGTTGGTGGGAATGCAAATGGTACAGCCACTTTGGAAGACAGTTTGGAAGTTTCTTACAAAACCGAACATACTCTTATCATATGACCCTGCAGTTGTGCTCCTTGGTACTTATCTGAAAGAGCTGAAAACTTATGCCCACATGAAAACCTGCACATAGATATTTATAACAGCTTTATTTATAATTGCCCAAACTTGGAAGCAACAAAGATGCTTTTAAGTTGGTGAATGGATAAATAAAAACTGGAGAACCTCCAGACAATGGAATATTATTTAATGCTAAAAAGAAATGAGCTATCAAGCCATGAAAAGACATAGAGGAAACTTAAATGCATATTACTAAGTGAAGGAAACTCATCTGAAAAGGCTGCATACTTATGACTCCAGCTATATGACATTTTGGAAAAGGCAAAACTATGGAGACAGTAAAAAGATCAGTGGTTCCCAGGGGTTAGGAGGGAGGAGGGATGAATAGGCGGAGCATAGAGGATTTTTAGAGCAGTGAAACTACCCTGTGTGATATTATAGGGGTAGACACATCTGTCAAAACCCATAGAACATTCAGCACCTAGGTTGAGTCCTAATGGAAGCCATGGGCTTGGAGTGATAATGACGTACCAGTGCAGTTCATCAACTGTAACCAATAAAACACATGGGGGCTATTGACGGTGGGGAGGCGGGGGCAGGTGGGCAGTATATGGGAACTCAGTGCTCTCACTCAATTTCCTGTGAACCTAAAACTGCTCTAAAAAACAAAGTCTGTCATTAAAAAAATTATTAGATGAAAGATTGTGGGGAGCAAGATAGTGACATGGTACCCGAGTAGCATCCCAGAGACCCCAAGTGACTGCAAAGGGGAAATGTGCCTTTACAGTGGAGAAAGCTTGTGGCTGCCCCCTTCTCCTAAGGACTGGATTCAGCATCACTAATAGGGGAACAGCCTGACAGTAGATATCATGACATGTTGCAATGAGGTGTGCGACATCCTGTATGACGTTGTCTTGCCAAAAATGTTTAATCTGAATATACTCAAGCCTCTAACTCTAACTCGAAGGTTGCAGAAGACACAGGAAAAAGAAGTCCAATTAAATGACACCATGAGAAAAGAAACTGAGACAAATAGAGAATATGGGGCATTCTATATGACACCTGGCCTGAACTCTTCAAAAAGTCAGTGATATAGAAATAAACAAATATTTTAGGAAGATGGGGCAGAGCTATTCTAAACAAAAAAGATATTAAAGAGATATCATAATCAGATGTAATACATAAATCTTAATTGGATCTTTGGGACAAATGGGGAAATTTTAATACGGATTAATATTAAATAATATGAAATTAATATTAATTTTATTAGGTCTGATCATTTTCTTGGGGTTATATAGGCTATCTCCTTAGAAGATGAGGGCTGAGTATTCACGATACAATATCATGATATCCACAATTGACTTGCAAATGGTTCAGCCAGAGATAGAGAGGAGGAGTTAGAAATCTATACAGTAAAATGTTGAGTCCAATGGTTTAGCTCAACTGTAGGTTCTTGGAACATTTATGTACCATTTCCTCAAATTTTCTGTATGTTAGTAAATTTCCATGATACAAATTGGGTGAAAATATTGTATCCTGACCATCAAATTGTTTAGATGAGTCTGCAACTGTATTTCCCACTTTCCTAACTGAGCTAAAGAAATGTTCGTGTCCTCAATGTAGGAATAAAGATTTCTGGACACTCCCTGGAGGCCTGATGTAATGTTAAACTGTCAATGACCGTGGACACACGGCTTCACGGGACACGCCTCTACGGCGGGAGTTGAAAATGCAGTCTGTGCCACGAGTTGCACAAACACGGGCGAAGCCCAGGCAAGCCCTCATGACTGACACTGCCTTATCCGGCACCCACACTGACCTGGAAAGGTGCGGGAGGACGAGTAAAACCAAAATTATTTAAGAGACAGCTTCTAGCTGCTGACACAAGCTCTGTCTGCTCAGCCCCTGTGAGGACACCTGCGCTACTGAGTGCAGCATTTCTGCAGGTAAGGTTAGGTTCTTTGGCTTCTCGGGAGAACATTCTGCGTGCCTACTGTTGAGAATCAGTGTCTCTGAACACAAGGTAGTGCAATTTCTAAACAGGAGCAGATAGGAATTCTACTTAACATCTCTAATGTCTCTTTATTTCTCTTTTCTAATCGTTCTTGTTCACTTTTAAAGCTTTCGGTGGGTTGGGGGGAAAAGGTGGTGAAAAGATGAGAGAGAAAGCTAGGAGGGAAGGGGTGGAGGGAAAGCGTGTGGTGCCAGCGTGTACCAGGGTCCGACGCTGCCAGCACACCCCTCTCCCGAGCCCTCTTCACACTTCTGCGGCACAGCCCTAAACTGTAGAGAAAAGCTTCCCACGCCTTGGTGGCGCACATCTTTATTTATGGCAGGCTGACTGTTTGGTACCATTGTCAAAGAGGATTCTGGGAAAGTGATAGAAACTAATATTTGCATGGCATTTTACAATTGATAAAGTTCTTTGTTAACATTTGTTATTTCAATATGTATCACATTCCTGGGAGTTCAATATCATGCCCACTTCACAGATAAACACACTGAGGCTCAGAAAGGCAAAACTTGCACTCAACTAGTCAGTAGCAGGGCCAGCAGTCGAATCCATGCCTCCAAAGGTGAATCCTGCTCATGCCCCCTGCATGACGTGTGTGATGGCTGTACTGACACTTACCTCATTCTCATGGGCTAGCCTTTAACCTGAAGCACTCAGTAGTACATGCCTGAAAAATGAAAGAAGGTCTTTGTGATTCAAAGCCCAGTTAACTGAAAGTTATTTTAGGGCATTACATACGTAGTTGTCAAAAGAGTAGGAGTTCTGGCATCGTAGAGTCTAGGCTCGAATCCCACTTCTACTTACAAATAGTGCAACCCTTGGTGAGTTATATCTCTACCTGAGCCTCACATTTACCCCACAGAGCTATTTTGAGGATTAAATAAAATGAGACATGAAAAGCACACAGTGCCATTTAGTACCTGACAAATGTTTCCTCGTCGCAATGCTTCATGATTGTTTTTCTGACTGTCTGGTTGCCATGACTGCCCAAGGACCCGCCTGGGAACAATCGTCTCTTCTGGCCAGCACTTCCTACATCAGGGGTCAGATGTACTTTTTTCCTTTGTTCCAAAATTGAATGTTCTCAATAGTCTGAGAGTGTAGTATATTAGTTCAGGGAACATTTAAACAGTGAATGATTGGAGAAATGTCAAAACTCTTTTCCTCAGAGCGTCCCAAAGCATAACAATATGTGGCTGAAATTTAACGATTGTCATAGCAAGGGACTTGAATTCCTTTCAAGATAAATCATCTACCTTGAGAATAAACTTTCTTGTGCAGAAAAGTTATGAGGAAAGTCCCAATCCTCTTATTCTTCATATAACAATCCTGTGACCCAGAATGCCCTTCTCCATCATACCCACGTTGGTTTTTCATAGATGACAAGATACGGTTTCATTTCATCATTGTAATGATGTTTCCAGGATTGCGCTTGAGTCAGAAAAGTCTACGTAAGCTTGGAGAAGAGAGTGAATGTTCTACAGTTTGATCTCTTTCCTGATTTTAAACTTGAAATCTGCATTAACTCTTAGTGAACAGTAAGTAAGTGGAATTCCCTAAAATTTTCCAAGGATAATATCTTTCAGAATATGTTAATATAAAGATAAAAGGACACATTAGGCTTTATTTATATTATACTATTATTTATACATTATTGAACAACTGCCTATTGAAAGACAAATTTCTGTTACATAGAAGATCATTGAGTATGTTCATATAAGAGAAAAATGACTGGACTGAAATCCAAAATATTGGTTTACTAGTCAAATAATACTAGGCCAGTCAAGGCTGAAAGACTTTATGTCTTTAACTGTCAAACTGTCCTAGTAATCTGTGACCTATGTATAGGTTAAATTATGTGTAAGAAAGTGCCCTATAAATTGGGAAAGTTCCTGTTAACATAAAATATTCTCATAATTGTTATTTATATAATTTAAAAATTCAGCAATTTTGGCAACTGTTGCTAAAAGACATATTTTAGAGAATTAATGTCTCAAAGGTATTAATAAATTTCCTTGTAGTAAATGCTTTACTTGTACTGCAGTTGTTGTCATAGTGTAATAGATTTATCAGTTACCTGTTTCCTTATTAGGGCATTCCTCTCTTCAGTCAATCAACATGGATATGATTGTGGACGCCTCCATATTTTTGGGAAAATTTCTATATTACTTTTTAGAATCTTTTGCTTACAAGATAATTCCCAAGAGAAAAAAGAATGTCACTGGAGAGATAGTACTTATAACAGGAGCTGGAAGTGGACTTGGGAGGCTCTTGGCCATACATTTTGCCAGCCTTGGAGCCATTTTAGTTCTATGGGACATTAATCAAGAAGGCAATATGGAAACGTGTAGACTGGCCAAGGAAAAGGGTGCCGTGAAAGTATTTGCCTACACATGTGACTGTAGCAACAGGCAAGAAGTCTACAGAGTTGCTGATCAGGTAAGCTGACTGGTGTGCTTTGCTCCTGTGCCTGAAAAAATTATTGCATCTTTTACGAAGGGAGGCAGAGAGGAGTTTGTCATAAACTTCCCCCAAGATCTCTATGTGTCTGTCTCCTGCTTAATTCTGCACTTCAGAAATAGGACTCTGTAACGTCCAAAAAACGAATACAGCACAAAGCAATGCAAGGGGGAATCTGATAAGCCTTCCGAGCCCAGTGTTCCCAGCTGCCATTCCGGGTGACTCATTTACCGTCAGGAGTTCATAGAAACTGGGCTTAGTCCTGGCTCTGCCGCTGGTTGTTCGTGCAATTTTTGTCAAGTTAGTCACCTTCTCTAGGTACCTGTTTCTTCATCTGTGACATGAAAGGATTGAACCAGATAATCTTCATCATACTCAACTTTAACTTAACTTTCTATATTTCATGATTCTAATGCAGATCCATTATCAACATATACTGAGGATATAAAGAATATGAAATATAAGGTAGAAAAATTAAACTAAAAATATGCTAAGTGCACTTCCTCCTAGACTTAGCCTATTGATATCTGTTCTAACTCCACACTAAATATTGATAAACACTCTAAATATCAGCAAACACTTATTGTGTAGCTACCACGTACTCTAACAGCAATGGGTAAGCTTTCCAGTAGTGCTTTAACCATCTTACCTTGAGTAAGGGGTGGTGAGGCTAGACGCAGATTGAGAGAGAGTAACAGGGCAGAGTTCTACAGTTTTGTTGCACTCACAGTCCCCTGGGGAGAACACAGCACAGCACGCAGGACCACAGGGAAGCTCTGGGTCAGTCACAAGGCAGAGGGAGAGGGGACGGTGTTTCCACAGGAAGGGATGGGCGAGGCAGGGTAAGCAGGTTTAGCACTGGCTAATCAGAATAATTTCATGGGGCTGACCCTGGCTGTCGGGTACCCGGCCCTGGGGCAGCTAGGGTGGGCATATAGTAGCGCAGAGTGTGAGAGCCCAGTAAGTGAAGTGGTTGGACGTGCGGACTTAATTGGCTGCTCAAGAAGAGGAAATGACCAGCCTCTAGCCAGGGTCAAGGTAGCACCCCTCAAAAAAAAAATTACAAATAGTTACTATTCTAAGAATTTTGTACACACAATAGCTCATTTAATCAACACAACATCACCCTCTTGGGTGTATATCATTATCATCATTTCTATTTACAAATGAGGAAACCGAGGAACAAAGTGAATGTGCAATTTGCCCCAGACCATGAAACTAGTGATTGGCAGAGCCAAGATTCCAACCCAGACAGGTTGAAGCCAAAGTCTGCTCTCTTATGCACGATACAAAAGGGCGCATACGGTTTCATAACAGAATCCCTAAGGGATTTTCCTTTCCCTTGGAAATCTGAGCTCCATCTATAGAATTTGCTTATGGATCCATTCAAAAAATATTGATTAAATCGCTACTATGTAACACTTACTTTCTGAACCACCATCACCCTTCTCCTTCATTTTCTATTGCCTCCTTCCCTGTTTGGGGGCCCCATAGGATTTGCTCTTTATAATCCATCACCAGCTAACGTGAATATGTGTATTACAGACATCTAAGTATATTTTAGAACACAGAAAGTGGAATCAAAATTAGTCTTCGTTTTGCAAAAGAGAAAGACACATGGCAGGAAAAATATATGGATAAATCTCTTGGCATCGAGCTGAAGGAAACAAGTGTGTCTACCTCGCAGGGGCTCCAGTCCCAGTGTCACTAACTAGCCAGATCAGGACCTTGGAAAAAGTCTTCTCTGCTGAAGCATTATCATATGTCACCTTTTATGATGTCTTTTATATCTATTATATATTATCTCCATTTTATTCACTATGAAACAAAGGCAGAGAGAGTTTAAGGAACTTGCCCAGGCCACAGAGCACATAAGTGACAGAGCTAAGTGATGACCCCATCTGGGATCACAGCCCCTGCGATCCCCAAAGGGCCATCAGCAAACGTGTGAGCAATGGAAAGACCCCTTCACAATCCTCTTCCTTTGATCAAAAGTATTGTTAACTCCTGCTCCCCGCCCCCATCTTTCCTTCTTGATTAAAATTTGCTTGCTATCTAGTAGAAAACCAAGCTAAAAATTCTAACCTAAAATTATCTTTTCACCACTGAAATGTATTTTAAACATTCCTTCTTTTCCACAATCCTATAAATAGAATTTGTCTAAGTCAACTACTTTTTATCTGCTTTTTTGTTTAATTTCCATTACTTATCAACTCCCAAAAAACCCAAAGACTAATATCAGACTTTACCTACAAGAATTTCGACAAACCACAGGCATTACCCATATCCTTGAAATTTGTGAGGGAGTCGAATAGCAATGACAGCATTCAAGGGGCACAGTAATTAACGTCCCAAGATTAGACTGAAGTAACATGCTCATCTCCAACATAGAAAGCCCATATACAAATAAATTGTTTTTCTTGGAATAATCGGGTTTGCAATTTATTACCAAATTTTCAGGTCCAATCAATCAGTAATGATTATTTGTATATATGTGTGTACACATGCACACATAGGAGATTTGTTTATTACAGCAATAATCGTTTTGGCTAAAGACAGTAGTAAATTTGGCTGAAAACAGCTTTTGTGTGTGAATCCAAATTGGGTATGAATCACTGCTGTTCCTCTCAAAAGCTGTGGGGTTTTTGGCAAGATCTTCGTTCTTAATTTCTCAGAACCTCTATTTCCTTGTCTGTAAACTAGGATAATAATGCCTTCCTAAACAGTCTCTCGGAGTTACAGTGACAATTAAATCTTAGAATCTAGATAAAATTCCTCTAGCCTCTGATGTCTCCAAGGCTCAGGGCTTCTTGAAGTGGATGACGGCAAATACTGAGTTTTTCTTAAGTATTCAGGAAAGCCTTAAGCCAAAGAGTCCATCTCCTTCTTGGGCCCCTATACCTCTCTCGTTGGTCTAAGATTGAGTCCGTGCTCACACTGATTACCTCACCAAGCCAATGGGATGTCTTTCTTTAAAAGTTAGCCTCTCGTGGATGTTTTCCTCCGTCTTGCCTCTCTGCAAAGTGGAGGAGTCTAATCCCTCAGTCGAACCGCAGCTCAGCAGTACGAACTCCTCCTTTCCTAGCTCATTCCCGCCAACTGCATCAGCAGCAGTAGCTACCTATCTCCAAATAGTGTTACCTGGCAGGCTCAACACACAGCAGCGCATGGGCCAGGAATCCGAAAACCAAGTTAGGGCAGGCAATGCTTCTTGTTTGGGAAAAAAAAAAAAACAAAAAACAGATTGTCATATCAGCCAAAAGATCCAGTTCAGGGAAGAGATGAAGGAAAAAAGTTTTCAAGTCATTGTTTAAAAATGCTCCATGCTTTGCTGCTGGGTCAGCTTTATCAATGTCCCCTACAAAGCTGTAATGTGCAACAAAATGGCAAAAGAGAAAAAGAGTCCCTCCGGTGTTTCCTGGAGCACACTTTCCCCTGGGCAGGGCTTGTGGGGATTGTAGATTATGCGAACAGGCGATGTGGACAGTTTAGAGGGGGAGCGTGAAGGAAAAACCTGAGGACTGGCAAGGCACAGTAGCAGCAGCGCAGCTGTGGACCTCTGGGAAGTATCAGTCACGGACAGGAATTAAACTGGGCGTGGTCCTTGGAACAGAAGTGCACAGCGTCCCAGAAGTCGATAGGCAGTGGAGCAAACACACCCGTGCTTGGAATGTCTTCATGCCGAATGCTGGCCGGCCCCTAGGGGCTGCCATGTGCTCTTACCTTCCTGCCCACAGAGGGGTCTGGGAGAAGACCCCGCAGAAATGACCAGCAGACACCTGCCGTGCGGAGGGAAAAACCTAACGCCATCTGAAGGAAGCTGCTCTGGACACTCAGCCGTTCTGGAGTCACTCAGGCTCCACTGCTGTCGGCGCCCCGGGAAGGGGCGTCAACGGGAGAAATAGGAGGGAAAGACAGTACGCTGCAATACACTGCAGGTCATCTCCACACAAAAATCAAGATTCTTTAAACAAAACTGCCAAATCAAAGTGTTTTTTTTAAAAATATAATTCCTCAGAAGGTTACTTTACAACTGCCAACTTTTTATATTTCAAGATAAAAATATCTAGTTTTAAACAAACTACCTGAACAAAATGAGAAAAAAAAATTGTGACTTAGGAAAACGAATATCAAAATGCAATACTTCAATTGAATTGATGTTTGCCTCTCTTCTCACCAGGTCAGAAAAGAAGTCGGCGATGTGACCATCCTCATCAACAACGCTGGCGTCGTAACGGGAAAGCTCCTCCTCGACACTCCAGATCACATGGTGGAGAGATCATTCCTTGTGAATGCCATCTCTCATTTCTGGGTAAATTTTCTTTCTTTTTCATTTTCTCTCACTGGGGTTTATGGAAATTCCATGTATTTCTATAAACATCTGTTCATGCATTTGCCTGTAAATATACCATTTGGGAGTTTTCTGCTGATAGACTGGTGGGGTCCCATCCTCGCTAGGTTTCACTCTGCCACTGCCATCTGTGTTTTTCCTGATCTTGCCCTATTCCAGATTCTCAGAGAAATTCCTTTCCCTCCACCCTCTCTGGTTTGGTCCCAAGACGTATTAGGCTGTTCAGAATCTTCCTACCAAAAGGCAAACCGAGAACGTGACAGCAGTTACACACGGGAGCTTCGACCTGCTCCTGAGGGAAGGAGGAGCGTGTGTGGACGGCAGGGTATTTTCAGAGAGGGGGACACGTGCACGCCAGACTGTGCATCATCACGACGGAAACGAAGGCAGCGGAACCACATAGCCACCAGTTACTGGACGTTTACTCTACACTGGGCACTGTTCTAAATGCTTTAACCACAGTGCCATTTTCACTCTCATTTTACAAATAAGGAAACTGAGGCGCAAAGTGTTTAAACAAATTCCCCAAGTCATGCAACTGGTAAGAGGTGGCCCAAGCTTCCAGAAGGACAAAGTGAAAGAGGAGGGACTCTTGCCAGATGGGGAATTAGTGAATTTATAACTCAGAAATGCCTTCCCGAGGTCTGGAGTGGCTGGACGGCTCTGTCCGGCAGGATCGTCTCTGGCGATGGAAATGTGCTTCGTCTGTGCTTCCTGGTACGGTAGCCTCTAGTTGTCTGTGGCTATTGAGAGCTGGTAATGTGATTAATGGGACTGAGTCACTAAACTTTTAACTTTATGTCATGTAATTCACTGAAATGTGTGCTTACATAGCCACACATGCCTAGAGGCTGCCGCCTTGGTCAGTGCAAGTCTAGAAAATGGGTGGGAGTCGAAGGAGACTTGAGCTACCACAGGTGTTTCTGCTGGGAGGGCTCATAAGAGGGACAGGTGGCTGGACCCGGGCCATGGGAGACATGGGGAAGGAGGGGTAGGAAGGACTTTCGTCCTCTGTGTCTCTGAAAGTAGGACCGACCCTGAAATGGGCTTGCTTTAAGTGTCCCTTCTCCTCCCTCTTTCCACTCAATGCCTGCATACCAGTCCAAGAGCTGTTTCCTCCGTCTTCTTTCTTGGTCCCCAGGAAGCCAGTGGGAGCCCCACTTGGCACCTAACACAGTGCTCGACATGTAATAGGTATTCTATAAATGTGTGTGGAAACTGTTGATTCCTTTCCCTATCCTCCCACCCCAAAACCTTTCCTTTTGGGAAGGGGAAATTCCTGCTTGGTCAATGGAGCTAGGGTGCACCCGTTCCTAATCGCACTGCAAATCTAGAGACCATACTTGATTCCTCTCTTACCCCCGACACTGGCATCCTTGGCCCTCCCGGCATGACATACCCCAGCGCACTTCTTGCCAAGCCATCCTCATCTCTTGGCAACACTCCTCGTGGCCTTGCATCTTCAACACTGGTGCCTTCTAACCTGTCTTCATATGGAGACAAGGTGATCTTAAACACATCAATCAAATCATCTCACTCCCCTGCTCAAACATATCCAGAGGCTTCCGAATGTACTCAGCATAATAACCTGTAAGCCTGGGCAGGACATGGCAACATCCTTCCCTGTCTGTCTCTCATCTCTCATTTTCTCCACTTTCTGCTCACTTTTTATGCTCCGAGGAGCTACTTAAAGCCCACAGCACATGGTCTCTTTCTCATTTGAGGGTCTTTGCGCAAGCTGTTCTCTCTCTGACAAGAACATTCTTTTTCCTGACTAACATAGCAGCTCCCTCTCATTCTTCAGGCCTCATGTAGTCTCTGAACTCGTTCCTTTATATTGTGTGTGTGTTCTGTTGTTGCCTTGAATCATCTACACAGTTAACAGTAAGAGGTATTAATGAACACACATGAGCCTTCCTGTTGTATGTCAGCGCATCTAGAGACAGATGATTCCGAGTAACCAATAAAACCAGGGAATCAACTTCCATCTGAAGATTATAGAAGGAATCTTCATTTATCTCTAGAATTCGAGAGATTTTTAAAAATTTTTCTACAACTCCTTTTAGCTCATTTATTCTGTGACTAGGAAACCAAACCCAAGAAATATGTCTCCACTAGGTTTTGCCTGCAGTACTTCTAGTGAGAAGTTTCCTTTTTTTCTTGAGGTGACTCAAACCTGCCAAGGTTCCTGGCCTGCTAGGAAGTGGCTTCCCTTACTACCTAGAAGGTTGGAAGGGGACGTGTATGCCATAGAACAGGTATCAGTCCAGTTTCCTGGGGATGCAGGTTGGTTGGCATCGGTTCCACATATTAACTACAACCAGTGTTCCCAAAGAGTGGGCTTGTCATACACGGTTACATGAAACTTACTCTTAAATAGGGCACACCTATGCTGTGGTTGCATTATCAAACTCTTCAGTTATATCCTGGTAAAAAGAAGGCCTGCTTCTTACTGAACGTATGCATAGGTCCCTCACCATGGAAGATAAAGGATCGCAGAACAGCCATGGTAATAGAATCTGCCTACTGCCCCAAGTAGATTTGTGGACAAAGGCAATTAATACCTATTTGTGTTATCTATAAAATGGTTTGATTGTTTTTGGATATATGGTGATCAGAATAAGTTAAATTTTATTCTATATGTTTTTCTAAGCTTAATCCATTGTGAAAATATTCATCTGAATTTCAGGTGCTAGAATTATCATCATTCCTTTGATGACTCATTCAATTTATAATCTAAACTAAGATTCCCCATAAGGTGTTTTCCCTGAATTCAGGGCATATAAGTTGGATTAAGACACCGTTCAAAAAGAGTTTCATTCCAGCTTGCATAACTACAGCTTCCCGGAGAGAGGATTAGAAATAGATCAACAAGAAAGAAAAAGGGCTTCTTCATACGCTTATCAGAAAATAGAGCCTCGACCACATTGCATTTTCCTTTGATTCCACGATCCGGTGCTATGTAATTAATTCTGTTCTGCTGCATCCTGGTCAGTCTGCTTTCACATGGCCATCCGCTCCTGGACCAAACAGATTCTACCGACCTGATCCAGCCCCAGCGTCACCTTACGAGGGCCTTCTCACGGCAGCAATGTCGCTCACACTAGGGTGCCTGTAGCAGTAAGTCCGACCTGGGTGCAGTCCAAGCCACACTGTGACTTTGAGTATGTCCTTCTGTGTCATGTCTTCACAAGGCTCAACTTCTGATGTGTAGTATCAGGAGCCTTTGGGCAAGAAGAGGGAGCCCAGAAACTTCCTATGGATGACAAACTGAATGGCTCCAGTTAATCAATTTCGATAACCAAAAATACCAATTTAGAGTATGTAGAAACTGCTACTGGAGTGTAAGACACAGCTGTTTTATAAGGATTTGGTTAATTACTACAGCGGGAGCATGGACAAAGCCCCAGACCCTTGCTATGCGTCCCGGCAAGTGGGCAGTCTCTGCAGGAATATATCTGTATTAATAAATTCACCCCAGAAAAGGTGAGTTTCTCTTTTGGATTTGATGGTTTTCCCCCCACATTTCCTCACGGAAAGTCCTAAAATAGGGTTCAGCTGATTAAGAAATGTAGCATACCAAATGTACCTCATGTTTCTAGCACCCCTGTTGCTGCTGTTGGCCATGTCACGAATTTCGGGCTAGGGAGCAGACCATGGTCACCTAAGAAGTGTCAGAGGTAACTTTGAATGCAGGCACCTCCACAGTTTTCTTTTTCTAAATAAAAACCTCAGTGGTTGTAAATGGCTACCTTAAGAGCCAGAGTGACAATAGTTTTGTTTTTTTAAATAAACCTAACAGCAGTTAACAATATAATTATTAAGGGACTTTAGATCTTTGAGATGTGACAATTTTTGGTTATTTGATTCAACAATTCAATGACATAACAAAAGTTAGTCAGGGCTCCAGTGCTCAGAGTGAGTATATTCTGACAAGATAAGGATCCTGCTCTCCGGGCAGACTGCAAAAAGGTAAAGAATAATCTTTTAATACCTCTTGTTTATAGCAGACTAAATACTCCAGGACCAATTTTAAGCTACTAGGTCCTACATCTTTATCATACATAGTTTCTTTTGCTCATTAACTGTAATATGTGCTTATATATGTACATGAGCTCAAACATATAAAAATATACATATACCTATGTAAGAATATCATTTTAGGCCAGGTGCGATGGCTCACTCCTGTAATCCTAGCACTCTGGGAGGCCAAGGCGGGTGGATAGCTCAAGGTCAGGAGTTCGAGACCAGCCTGAGCAAGAGCGAGACCCCGTCTCTACTAAAAATAGAAAGAAATTATCTGGACAACTAAAAATATAGAGAGAGAGAAAAAATTAGCCGGGGATGGTGGCGCATGCCTGTAGTCCCAGCTACTCGGGAGGCCGAGGCAGGAGGATCGCTTGAGCCCAGGAGTTTGAGGTTTCTATAAGCTAGGCTGACGCCACGGCACTCTAGCCAGGGCAACAGAGCCAGACTCTGTCTCAAAAAAAAAAAAAAAAGAATATCATTTTAGCTTTAAACAATAACTTTGAAATATGAATAACTTTATCATCATATTAAAAGGTAAGGTATGTACTATTAATACTTTGAATATATCATCTCAATTGAAGCTTTACAAAAAAACAAGTCAAAACTGTGCTCGGTGACTTGATACCTTTTCTCTATTCATATAAATTTTAATTTTTTTAAAAAAATTGTATGAGTAACCAAATATATCTTATAAATTCACCCAACTTAGTATTATATTACCCTTAAATCTTCACGTAATTTAAATCAACACAACAGAGCAACATGATTGCTGGTGATATTAAAAGATTGTTAGAGATGACACTGAAAAATTATAAGACAGTGCAAGAGGAATTGATGTAGGCAAATCTCAAAACCGGGGCTCAGCCCAGTAGGCCAACCTGGTTCTTGGCTTCTTGCAGGAAAGAATTCAAGAGCGAGTCAACAGAGTAAAGCAAAAGCAAGTTTATCAAAGTAGCAAAGAAACAAAAGGAAGGCCACTGCACGGGCAGGGCTGCTGGCCAGCTATATTTAAGGCTATCTCCAGACTGTGTGTTAAGTAAGGGGCAGAATATTCATGGATTTGGGGGGAAAGGTGTGAGGAGTTTTCAAAATTGAGGGTTCCTCTCCTTTTTAGGCCATTTAGGGTAACTTCTGGGAGTTGCCATGGCATTCGTAAACCGTCATGGCACTGGTGGGAGTTCCTTTTAGCTTGTTAATGTATTGTAATTAGTGTATAGTGAGTAGCGAGGGTAACCAGAAGTTGCTTTCATCACCTTGGTTTTAGCTGCTTTGGCTGGCTCCTTTACTCATCCTGTTTTATTAGTGGGTTTGTGAGATCTGTGTCTTGTGAAACTAGTCCTGCTGAACTCCTATCTCATTCCCCCCTTCAGAGATTATACACTCCTCCTTAATCTTAAGGGGTTGTAGAAGGGCAGGGTCTATCTTCTCTCTAACTTGCTGATGTTATCAGCATAGGCCCTGTCTAGTATTGGAGGAGTATAAATCCCTGGATGCCTGATCCAAAGGGCCCCAAGGCAGGATATTTTTTTAATTTTCTGGATCGGAAGTTGGGATGGGTTGGAAGCCTTCTGCCAGCATCATGTTTACATGGAATTGTACTCTAGATGACATAAACTTTATAAGAAGGTTAAACAAGTAAGGGCCAAAAAGCAACAATGATAATATGGCTACTAAGAGTCCCAGTAGAAGCAGAAACCAAATAGCACTTGGTAGGTATCCTTCAATAGAGTCCCAGATGGTTTGAACAGAGGGGTTATTGAAATTACATACAATTTAGCCCATTGGTAGATTTGTTGGATGTCTACTTTTACTTCCCCGGAAGTGTTGACTCATGTGCAAAATGAGGTGTTGATGACGGCATAAACTCTCCCTTGCTCGGTTGTCCAACACGGCATTGGCCAAGGAGTCTAGGGAGATACACAATTTTTGAAAGGGCATTTCCTCTTCTTTTTTGGGGGGAGTGGGGAGGGAGAAGGAAAGAGACATTTTATTACTTTGGACTTCCCAGATTCCGACCTCACGGTACTTCCTCGGGATGGGTAACCCCGAGGCAGCAGAGGTCTTAAAGCAGCTGCCAACAATGTGCCTTTTGGGTCTTTCTTAGTTTTCTCCACTTCCTTTGCTCCGTCCCTATTGTTGTAAACTCCACGCTGGCTCCTGGCAGTCTGGGGTCCCCTTCCTGCTTTTGCAGTTTCCTTCTAATATCAGGAATAGACTGGGTGACAAAATACATGCCCAGAAGGGCGCATCCCTCTGAAGGCTCAGGGTCCGCATTTGTATAATGTGTTTTCTAAACGCCTCTACTAGACAACTCTGAAACAGAGCAGGGTTTGTATCCTTTCCCGGGGTCACCTCCCTAACCCTTCATAGTTGACCAGCTTGACGCACCCTTTTCACACCCCCTATCAGACAAGTTATCATGTGGTTCCTGCGCTCGAGGTCTTGGGAACCTCCCTGGTAATTCCACTGGGGGTCAAGGTCTGGGACCACATTTTCCCCCACATGGTAGATAATGTGGCCCTGATTTTGAGTTGCTGTTCCCTCTGCGTGCTCACAAGCAGTACCGAGTATCCTCTGTTTCACCTCCACGGTACAATAGGTGGACAGTAAGCTCTGTAAATCATGCCAAGTCGGGTCAGAGGACATAGTCAACATAGCAAATTCCTCAATAAACTTTCCTGGATCCTCCAAAAACTGGCCAAATCTTTCTTTGCATAAGGCTGAATTAGACATAGGAAAAGGCACATTTACTCTGATCATCCCCACATCTCAGCCACTTCCCACAACAGACACAGGTTTGATTTGAGAGATTGATACGGAGCCTCACTCCTGGTGGTGCCGGTCGGGCTGACTTCCCCAGGCAGCAGGGGGTATAGACTGGGGCTGGCTGGATAAGGAGGAGGGGTATCTAATGATCTTGGGGCAGAGACCTGTGCAGGAGAACATCCCTCAGAGTCAGCGGCTGAGGAGGCTGGTGGGGTGGGCGCAGGCCTTCTAGGGGGTCAGCTAAAAGGGGATCACCTAGAATGTGCCTCCCTCTCCCAGTTTCTTCATGCCTGGGAATAATTCCAGTCAGATACATCCTACAGCTATTTTTCTAATTTGGATCTTGGTTGAGGGCCATAGGAAGTCCCTTACCAAGTCCCTTACAAAGGCTGTATGTAAGGGACTTCTCATTTCCCCTTCTTTTTATGGAATAACTCCAATTGTGAAAATGTGTTATATAGTTTGAAGAACCATTTTTGGGCCAAATGCCCTGGTCTCCAAGTTGGTACTGGGACCAGGCAGTATTGCAATAGAAAATAAGCTTTTTCCTTTTTAGACTTTCTAGCTTAGATTTTCCAGTTGTTGAGGAGGCATCCTAGTGGGGAATCCTTTGGGATGCTTGAGGATGTCCCCATGTCTGATCAGGGTTTCAGTTTGACACAAGGGTCTTCCTGAGCCTGGCAAAAAGCAGTTGTCTGGTCTCTCAGATTCCCACCTCCCCTCTCCTCAAGAAAAGAAAGTAGCGATAGTGCCGTAAGCACTTGCAAGGGGTGGAGAGACAAGGAGGCTCACAAGGCATGGTGCACCTTAATTATACAAAAAAAGTTGGCCAGAAGAATGAGGGCCATGGGGTCCAGCAAACGGGATACAACAAAAAAGATATTTGAGTAAACAAGGCAACTGAGAGAGGGTGACATTTAGTCGTACAAGTTGTGAGTCTTCCCTGCAAATAGAGCAATGAGGACCAAAAAGACAATTATAATCTGACCTCCACACAAACAGGAAAAGGCCTTTGCCTGGTTGCAGGTAAAGGAGTGAAAGCTGCCAACAAAAGAAATGACCGGAATGCCAACAAGCTAAAGTCTCCAAATAGGCTAAACAAAGTTCCTGCCCATCATAAAAACCAAAGATAAATCTGGAGCCTTAGAGTTCTAAATAGGTGCCACTGATGATAATAATAAAGCAAAAGTAAATCTTTAAGTTCTGTTCCTTCCAATGGCAACTGCGACCATGGCAGAGCAAGCAACCCTTAGGACGAAAATCGACCAGTTGCCAGGAAAAGAAATAAGTCTTTACCTCGGGACACACTGACTGGGGCCACCAAGAATGGCAATGACAGCGAAGAAAACATTGACAAAGAGCAAAAGGGGGTTCAAAATCTGATAAAAATGAAACAAAACCGGGACTGGCTGCTAATGCAATTACCTGACCTGAATACAGGATGAGGAAGGCGGGAGTGAACAGTAATGATGGGACAAAGAAGAACAAAGGTCCCAAAATGGGGTCAAAACAACCAAGCAATGGCACCCAGAGAAAGAAATAGTTCCCTTAACGACAGGCTTTCCCAAGTTTCAGGACTTATTGCCAAAGAACCTGGAGCATCCAAGTTTCAGTCAACTATGATCCCAACAATACAGAGTCTTTCGGAGACTGGGGTCATGGCATGGGGACTTAGAACATTGAATTACGATCTTGCTTCAGGATGAATGAGTGAAGTTTACCAAAATGGCTAAGAATATATTATACCTAAGTCCTGGGAGACAATTCCAAATCCCTTTATTTACCAGAGTGTGTTTACCTTGCTTTGAAATTCACCTTTCTTCAAGCAATTTCTCCCATTCTGCCAATCCATTGGGGTGAGGGCAAATCTTGTTTACGGTAAAGCCAGGAAGGTATATGCGATTAAATTTTAATACAAATTGTTGAAGACTATAAGGAAGAGCTCAGCATACTAGAAAAATTAGGCTTTAAGATTTTTAGCCAACCGTAAATATAAAATGTTCATATAGTTTACTTCAAAGGAAAAAGAAATCAAATAATATCTCATAGATAATTAACACATAATAAAGTCTAATATCCTTGAGAACAGTGATTATATGGTACCTGCTATTGTATTGCCCCAGAATTTAACACATTACAACTGTAAATAAATATTTGTTAAATGAATCGGTAAATTTTCATCAGATATTTAGTGAGCAAATAAAGTAATAAATCAATGAAATATTGACACAGTGTATCTATACCTTCCAGACTTACAAGGCCTTCCTTCCTGCCATGATTAAAGCTAACCATGGTCACTTGGTCTGCATTTCAAGTATAGCAGGACTAGCTGGTATTAGTAGACTGTCAGGTGAGTACTTTGTTTCAACATGTGCCTTTGTATTCCCCAATCCACAGCACTCAAAAATTAGGACTCTTCCAAGATAGGCAGAAGCTCTTCCTGCACCAAGGGAAATCTCTGGAACATTTGGCTGTATTTATAATGTCAGCATTCACTTCCATTTCCATAAGAAGAGATATTCTCATTTTAAAAAAAAAAAGAATGTGCCTATTGGCTCATTGGTATTTTGGGATTAAGAGAAATTCAAATGATTTCCATCTTTTTGTTGGGCTAGAGTGTGGAGACACAGGGGTGGAGTGTTTGCCCACATAAATAACTTTAGCAGTAATGCTTTGTCCCCAAGAACAAGCCAGAGAAAGGGGAGAGAGTTTCAACTTTTAAAATAATTCCAAGAATTAATTTGTCAAACTCTATTACTAATAGCTCCTCATTTTGTTTCAGATTATTCTGCAAGTAAATTTGCAGCCTTTGGCTTTGCTGAATCTCTCTTTATTGAATTAAGTATGTTAAAGAAAAGTGAAGTGAAAACCACCATCGTTTGCCCATATTTCATCAAAACTGGAATGTTTGAGGGCTGTACAACCAAGTAAGTGAACTTTTACAATAATCTTTGCTTTCCCCTTATAATAATTTTCCAATGTATGTCATCACCTGATGATTTTTAAGTTTTGAAATATGGACAGAAGACAAAAGAAACAATTTGAATGGCTAATTTAGTAAAGAAAAAAAGTTTTAGTATGTATAAAATTTATAAATTTATTCAATTTAAAGATAATATAGTTATAAAGTTTATGATGTGGTAAAAAACTAAACAGAAATACTAATCAGAATATAAAATATAATGGAGAAATTGGTAGTGAGAACTTTTTTAAATATTTAGCATTATAATAATGAAAAGATAATTTTTTCCTAAAAAGAAGGTATAAATAACTGCAAAAATAAAATATTTTGTAAGAATGATTAAGATACGTGGGGAAGTATTACAGAGTGCCATTTTTGTATAAAGGTTAAATTTGGCTAGAATAGTTCAAACTATGATACAAATGAAATGTGAGAGCTTTTATACAGGGAGCCAATTAGTTGAATATGTTGAAAAATGTAAATTAGAAATGAGGACAAGTGTAGTCATTACAATTGTTAAAAAAGGGACTCATATGATCCAAATGACATGAATCATCTATATTTGCAAAAGAGAGAGACAGCCAATAAAAAGGCTGGCAATGAAACAATTTATAGTCTAGTGATACTATAAAATTAAATAAAGAGTTCCAAAACCAGTGGTGAAGAGTTGATAGAATGTAGAAAGGAAAGCTCTCTCCCAAAGAGACATCTACTAATCTGGTAGAAATTAGCAAAGACAATCATTTACAATCTCAGGAGATTGATCAAAGGACATGCCACAAATTGAGATGCATCTCTTCAACAAAATCTGTCAAAATTCAACAAGAACACTGGAAGGCCATGGCACTGGGGCTAGGGACTACACCCTTGCTTTGTGGGATAACTGTTTCAGTAGACTTGGCAACCAAGTGGCAGTTCCCACCTGTCTCACCTCTCTGGGGTGGAAGAGCTATTCTGGATAGTTTGACAACAGGGAAACACGAACAAGTCCCATTTTGACAGTTCCATGCAGTAGAAGGCCTATACTGAGTGAATAACCTCATCCAGACAGTGCTGGTTCCTCCACCCCCAACTCCCACTAGATAGGGAAAATCCAGAGAAGTGCTGTTGTTGAAGAGGGCAGTTCCTTTTCCCAGAACATCTCTTTCTTGAGAGAGAACTGCTCCAGTAAGCTCAGCAGTCAAGTGGCAGGTCCCACCTTCTCCAGCTTCTTAAGACAAAAGATCTGTTTGGGTAGATTTACCAGGCAGTTAATATCAGCAGACCCCATCCTCCCAGTCTCTGGGGTATGGAAGATCCATACAGGGTGATGGCAGCAGCTGGTTGGCAGCACTATTTCCTGCCATCCTGCCTCCAACCTTCACATCCTGACTGATGGGGACAATTTGGGTGGAGTAGCTGATGAAGAGTGAATTTTCTATCATGCCTATCTCCTGCTCCATAGCACAAATGTTCTGCCAGGTGAGGGTCAAAACCAGCCTTAAAGATTGGCAATTCTCCACCCTGCCACAGGACCTGACTTCAACTGGATAAGAGCATGAATCAAAATACAAAAAGAACAGCATAGCCAGCTAGCAAATTGTGGAAGTTAAGAAGAGCTGGCTGTAATATGTGTAGAAGCAGACCAGCCAGTAGTTTAACTAGGAGATTAAATGAAATACAAAGTAAAAGATTGCCTGTCTAAAACCACAGTCATTCCTGACAGTCAGAAATGTTGTATGCATGTCCAAGACTGCATCCTCTGAGGGATGACATAAAAGCTACACATTGACAGTAGAAGAAAGAGGTAGACTTTACTAAAATGGTCTATCAAGTCACTAAATAAACAAGCAAACAACTATAACGACAAGCCCCATGGGAAAGTATTATACAGAGTTCCTAAAATATATTATCTGTAATGCCCACTGTTTAGCAAAAAAGTTATGAGACATGCAAAGAAACAGGAAAGTATAACCTATATAGGAAAAACATAGACGATAGAAATTACTTCTAAGGGGGTCCAGATGTTGAACTTAGCCAACAAACTTCAAAGAGCTATTATAAATAGGTTCAAAGATCAAAAGGAATCTATGTTTCAAAACAAAAAGACGGTATAAGGACAATGTCTCATCAAATCTTAATAGAAAATGTAAAGAAAAAAACAAATATAAATTTGGGAATAGAAAACAAAAATAACTGAAAAAGAAAGGTTCACTAGAGCAGCTCAATAGTAGAATTGAACTGGCTGAAGAAAGACTGAGTGAATTTGAAGATAAATGAATAGATATTATATAATCAGAAGAAAACAGAGAAAACAAAATGAAGAGAGACAAACAGAGCCTTAAAGAAATCTGGGACATCATTAAATATAAACATATACATGAGGAGAATAACATAAAGAAAGGATACAGAGAAAGGAGCAGGAAAAAAATATTCAAAGAAACAATGGCTAAAAAGTTCCTAAATTTGATTTTTTTAAAAAAACACATTAATTTCCATATTCAAGAAACTCAGTGAACTCCAAGTTCACTGGATAAACACAGGAGGTCCCACACCCAGATATGTCATAGTCAAAATGTTGAAAGACAAAAACAAAATGATAATCTTGAAAGTAGCAAGAGAAAAAAGTGTCATCATATACAAAGGAACCCAAATATGATTAATGGCCAACTCCTCAACAGAAACAATGGAAGCCCAAAGGCAGTGGAATGACATATTCAGAGTACTGGGGGAAAAAAACTGTCAACCAAGAATCATGGATCCAGCAAAACCATTTCTCAAAAATGAAGGCAAATCAAAGTGGAGAATTTGTTGCTTAGCATCCTACTTTACAAGAAATACTAAAGGAATTTCTTTAGGGTAAAAGTGAATGATACCAGAGAATAATCTGAATCCACAAGAAAAAAACAGAGTGACAGTAAAGGTAATAAAGTAGGTAATTTTTAAAAGACAGTATAAATCCATATTTATTCTTTCTACTCTTGGTTATAAATACAATTGAATAAACAATATGTACATAATAGTATTGTTGGGCCTACAACATATAGAAATGTAATATTTTGCCAGTAAAGGAACAAAGGAGCTGGGTGGAGACAAAGTTGTGTTAGAGTAAGTAAATGACACCAGATCATAACTCAAATCTACAGGAAGAGATGAAAACTGGAAATGGAAAAGTTTAATATAATAAACTCTATAAATATGTACTCATTCTCCTTTATTATCTTAACTTCTTTAAAACATAAAAATCTATAAAGTAATAACTTCAACAAAGTGCTATTGGTTTTATAATGTATAGGTATAATATGTATAACAATAATAGCATAAAAGTGGGAGAAGTCATACAGCTATATAAGAGTAAGTTTCTATGTCT